CTAATTTCTGCTAGGAAGCAGTGAGTTCATGAATTTAAGTACCCCTTACAACAGGCTTTCTCCCAAAGATTAGCCTTACATTTAACTGCAGGCTTCCCAGCCTGAGCCTGCCATTTTCTACTTTTCCTGTATATGCAGTTACTCTCTAGAATTTTAATTTCTTATCTTTAATGTCAGGTGACCAAAAAGAGAAAAAAAAAGGGGGTGATCAAAGGTGAGGAAGAAAGTGTCTCAGTTTCCCACCACACTGGGAGCCACTTCAGCTGAGGGGAAAAGAGCTTGCAAAATAGAAGAGCGGGGCAACCTCGGCTGCCATCATCTTCTTTGAATGCAGCCTTGTGATCACAGGCAACACTTATGGTCAACATCCCCAGTGCTTGGGGACAGCTGATCTTGAGAGCTGTGTAAGTTTCTCCAGAAACATCTGGTGCATGTGGTTACTGTCTAGGTAAAAACTGAACCTTAATGTTTGGTGGTCCATCATCTCAGAATCTTCTCTGTGAACACTTAAGAGAAGTGAGTATTCTTTAACACGGGAGGAGTTGACTTTAGGTGTCATTGCAACTACTAATGAAGACTAATATAAATGATATTGACTCCAACTTACAATTCTGTTGCCCAGATTTCTCAAGGAATTAATGTTTTATGGTCTTGTCTGCCCTGGGGCACCTATATCGTCAGATACTAACTCTACATTGCCTTCAACTCTTTTTAGAGTATATCTTAATGTATCAATTAGTGTAATAATTATTGATAAAGAAACCCTGCCACCTGTGTGTAGAAAGAGAGACTGAGTATTTTTGTGGGCTCAGCAATTAAATTAAGTCAGCAGATCCATAAACCAGTCAGATAAAAATGGCTTTTCCAAAACTCAAAACCACACAATCATGACTGAAATGAAAGGGAGAAATGTTTTTCATTATATAAAATAAAAAATAAATTTTCTCACAAATGCATAGACTGCCTTTCTAGACAAATTTATTTCAATCTCATCCAATATAGGTACAATAAAGTGTATATAGTCCATAGTTAATGGAAATCCAAAAATATTTCATTATTTGAACCAAGCTATGAAGTAAGATTTCATCAGCTATAGACAAAATGATCTACTGCTAAAATTCTTCAGCTGGTGTTAGGAAAATTGACCAAACACCGTGTGCAGTTCACAGCCTTCCTTCCCTGCCCAAGCAGGAATTCTAAGAAAGCCATTGTTGTCTACCATCCATTATGTCAGAACAAACGCAGTAGTGCAATGTAGAGCTGCATTTCACAAGACAGAGCTCCAGGGCACAGAGGACCATAAAACATTAACCCTGGGAAATTTAGGCAATAAAATTGTAAGTTGGAGTTAATATCATCTACATCTCCCCAAACTGGAAAATGTCCATTATTCCTAGTCTGAAGGTAATCATTTTCAACCACTTTGGGGAACTTTTTTCTCCTTTCTTGTCAGCCTTTTCTAAGTCTGTCTTCTTACATTATTTCCTGAGCAACTGAAACAATAAGGTTTGCCATCCCTCAGTTTCCCCTTCCTGGGGAGCATAAATATTCAGATAACCAAGAGTGTAGAGTCTGGGCATAGCAGGAAAGTTTGGCATGTAATAGCTGAATTTGAGGAACTGGATCATCCTCTTTCTATCATTTGCAAAGGTACAAGTAGGGAAAAAAACTACAAATAGGAGCACTAAGGGCAGAGGCCAAGCCCTAAATAACAGTCAAAGGAAGAGCATCCCAGAGCCTGTGAGCATCTAGCAAGTCATCTACACAGATCCCTACCTGGGGAATTTGGAAAGGGAGAAGGGAAGCAAACATCCCTCCCAGCCTTACTCCCTCGCCCTCTTCCTTAAACTGTCAATTCTCATAAGCAGGCCTGAGTTCCTGGTCTTTGTGTGGATTTCTGCTGAATCCTTTAGTAAGTTAAAAACAAAGAACACATGGCTCTTGACTCCAGAGTTAGGCTGTCTTCTTTTTTTCCCCCTGCCCCAGGGATTGATGGTAAATTAATCCTGACAAAATTTGAATATCAAGAATAATATGTAGCTGGGCTGGGCGTGGTTGCACATGCCTTTAATCCCAGCACTTGGGAGGCAGAGGCAGGCGGATCTCTGTGAGTTCCAGGCCAGCCTGGTCTACAAATTGAGTCCAGCATGCCAGGGCTACACAGAGAAACCGTGTCTCAATCACCCCTCTGCAAAAAAAAAGAAAGAAAAGAAAAAGAGAAGAACATGTATTCAGATAACTTATAATTAAATATATAAAATACAAATAAATATAATTTTTTAGAAACACCTTACTCTTTCCTAGCTTCATGAGCAGCTAGGTTTCCCCACCCTTTAGAAGGAAGGAGAGGACAAAGAAAAAACAGTCCGTATTTCTGTCTCTGCTTGCCAGCAGAACTGTCTAAGAATACACCCACAAGGGAAAGCAGAAAAGGGACTTCATTGTGGGGTGGTTGGGTTCGCTAACATAAAGTAGATCCATGTGGTGGTCTGTCGTGGTTACATATTTTCACTTAAATGGTGTTTCCTTTTAACAGCTTTCAAACTAAATTTTAATAAATAAATAAATAAATAAATGCTACATATGCCAAAGATAACATAAACCCATTTTAAACAATCTCAAATTGCCACAGATTTCATTTACTAAGAATGGATTATGTGCCTTATCTATATATACACTGAGATAAAGACCTGTATGTATCCGCCTCAATATTAAAAGAAAAAAAAAGCCATCAAAACTGAGTCAAACATATCTGTATTTACAGTGCCCACTTTTTAACGGGTTTTTAGTGACAGCATGGTTTGCAGATCAAAGGCTTCTGGGCCAGCTCTAAGCACAGATGGCTGAGCTGACTTATACTCACCAAGGTACTCCTTGGGAACAGGACCAGCTCACCTCTTCTCCCAAGCCTGAGAAGCCAATCTATTAATTAATTGTAATGTGTGAATTAAAGTTTAATAAGAGTGAAAAGACACCAAAGGAGTTAATGTAATGAAATCCTCTGTTTGAAATGTGAATAGCTTGTTGTTTCCATAATTAATTTCCTGTGACTGATGCTGAAACTTACAGTGTCAGGAGAATTTTAAAAATGGCAAAATCTTAAAAACATTTCAAACGTGCTTTCTGCAGTTGATCCCTACTACACTGCCACTGGAAGAGAAAAGCTTTTAAACTCCACAGCTATTTCATATCCACAATTTCTTTTTCAAATTAAATTTTTATTTTTAATATTAATTACAGTTTATTTACTTTGTATCCCAGCTGTAGCCCCCTCCTTCATGCCTTCCCAAGCCTACCCTCCTTCCCTCATGTCCTTCCATTCCCCTCTCTAAGTCCACTGATAGGGGAGGTCTTCTTCCCCTTCCATCTGACCCTAGCTTATCAGGTCTCATCAGGACTGGCTGCATTATTTTCCTTTGTGGTCTGGTAAGGCTGCTCCCCACTCAGAGAGAGGTGGTCAAAGAGCCAGCCACTGAGTTCATGTCAGAGACAGTCCCTGTTCCCCTTACTAGGGAACCCACTGCCATGGGATACATCTGAGCAGGGGTTCTAGGTTATATCCATGAATGGTCCTTGGTTGGATTATCAGTCTCAGAAGAGACCCCTGTGCCCAGATATTTTTTGTTCTGTTGCTCTCCTTGTGGAGCTCCTGTTCCCTCCAGGTCTTACTATCTCCCCCTTCTTTCATAAGATTCCCTGTGCTCTGCCCAAAGTTTGGTTATGAGTCTCAGCATCTGCTTCGATACACTGCAGGGTAGAGTCGTTCAGATGCCCTCTGTGGTAAGCTCCTGTCCTGTTTCCTGTTTTCTCCTTCTTCCAATGTCCATCCCATTTGTCTTTCTGAGTGGGGATTGATCATGTTACCCAGGGTCCTCCTCCTTATTTAGCTTCTTTAGGTGTACAAATTTTTTTTAGGTTTATCCTATATTATATGTCTAATATCCACCTATAAGTGAGTATATACCATGTATGTCTTTCTGCTTCTGGGATACCTCACTCAGGATCAGGGAGATACAAATCAGAATGACCCTGAGATTTCACCTTACACCCATCATAATGGCTAAGATCAAAAACTCAAGTGACAATAGATGCTGGAGAGGATGTGGAGAAAGGGGAACCCTTCTCCACTGCTGGTGGGAATGTAAACTTGTACAACCACTTTGGAAATCAATCTGGCACTTTCTCAGACAATTAGGAATAGCACTTCCTCAAGATACAGCTATGCCACTACTAGGCATATATCCAAAAGATGCTCAAGTACACAACAGGATATTTGTTCAACCATGTTTGTAAAAGCTTTATTCGTCATAGCCAGATGATTACGAAAACAACCAGATGTCCCTCAATGGAGGAATGGATACAGAAATTGTGGTACATTTACACAATGGAATACTACTCAGCAATTAAAAACAAGGAAATCATGAAATTTGCAGGCAAATGTTGGGATCTAGAAAAGATCATCCCGAGTATAGTATCCCACAATTTCTTTTAAAATATCATGTTTCCCCTGCACATATGTAGCCTATGGCAGGTCAGTGTCCAAGTGGGTTACCTAGTAATGGGAAGAGGGACTGCCTCTGACATAATCTGATTGGCCTGCTCTTTGATCACCTCCCCCTGAAGGGGGAGCAGCCCTACCAGGCCACAGAAGAGGACAATGCAGCCACTTTTGAAGAGAACTGATAGACTAAGATCAGAAAGGAGCGGAGAAACTCCCCTATCAGTGGACTTGGGGAGGGGCATGCATGCAGAAACGGGAGGGAGGGTAGGATTGGGAGGGGAGGAGGGAGGGGCTTATGGGGGATACAAAATGAATAAAGTGTAATTAATAAAAAATAAAAAAAGTTAAAACAATCATGTTTCAATTTAAAAGCATACTATGCATTATTTCGTTTATATAAATCCAAATGTAAATAATTAGCTTTTAAAATCTGAGCTAAAATTGACCATAAGTACAGGAAAGTCCAGAGAGCATGAAGTTTTGATGTTACAGTACCTACCTGTAATGTGAGACTAAAATGTCCAACAAATGCTGCACTCATCCAGGCTGTAGAGTGGGGCTCACCCAGATACTCTATATAATAGTTTTCAACATTTCCATCCTGGTCATAGGTCACGTATTTCCCTTTGAAAGGATCAGGACAAAGTATCCCTGGCCAACTTAAAAAAAAAAAGGCAAAATAATTTTCATTCTTTTAAAAAAGGAAGCCATTGACATATTTGTCACAATTAAATATTGGTCTTGTTTCTTTGAATTTTAATGACTTCTACAAATATAAACATTCCTATTTACACTTTTCAAAGATAATAAACAAGTAGTAAATTATATCTTTGTAACTACAAAATGTTTTGATACTGTCACAGACAGGAAAAAAAAAAAGAACTTTAAAAGTAATGATATCCAGAAACCATAAGACATCACTAATGGGCAAAAGGGGGGAAGATACATCAAATTCTCTGCAGAGTTAAATTAACTCTAGCTAAGAAGAATAATTAATTACCAAAATGTTAACCACTGACATGGCTTATGCCAAAGTGAGAGAAAGCTATGTGGATGGATGGATGGATGATGGATGGATGGATGGATGGATGGATAGATACATACATACATATATACATTGATACATAGATGATAAATATGTATATACATACATACATAGGTGAATGATAGATAGATGATAGATGTGATAGATGATATTATAGGGTAGAGAGCTAAGACATATCTATGTGCAGATAACAGGTGATACATAGATAGGTGATGGAAAGCCATGCTATGCTAGATAGACATGATGATGGCTTATATATAAATGATGATTTTTAGATAATAAAAGACAGACAGCTATAAAGTACTAATAGCTTAAAGATAAATGGTAGGTGATAGATTATAGATAAATGATAGATGCATCTCTATAGGCAAATAGATAACAGAAAGATTGATAGGTGATAAGCAGAAAAATAGCTCAAAGATGAAACTGATGACACTGTAGAGTGAACTACAGAAAGAGCAGCTCCACCATTCTAAACTGCTCTTTCCTCTCTGTCTGCTCCATTGACAAGTCACTAGTTTGCTAAAAAAAAAAAAAATTCAGAACTCTCAGTAAATTTTTATTTAAAAAATATTATGTTGAGAGGTTGGAGAGATGACTCAGTGGTTAAGAGCACTACCTGCTCTTCCAGAGCATCCAGGTTCAGTTCCCAGCACCCACATGGCAGCTCACAACTATCAGCAACTCCAATCCTAGAGGATCTGATGCCCTCTCTGATTTCCACAGGCACAAGGCACAAACATATAAAATAAAATTTAAATTTAAAAATGACATGTTTGGCTGGATGCAATGGTGTGTGCCTGTTGTTCCAGCCCTCAGGAGGCAGAAGCAGATGGATTTCCATGAGTTTAAGGCCAACCTGGTCTACAAAGAAAGTCCAGGACAGTTAAGGCTACAAAGAAAAAAAAAACTATCTTGAAAAGTTATGTATGGATATATATAATGGTATGTTTATTGTGACAAAAACCTCTAATTGACCTCATTCTCCCTTTGGACAATCAGTTACCACTTATGTAGCTTTCATTTTTCTACTTTCTGTCTAAATTTGATTTTTCTTTTAATTATTACTTTTTAATTATTGGTATGTGCATGTCAAAAAGTAGAAGAGCAATATGTACTCTTAATTGCTAAGCCATTTCTTTAGCCCCTGATTTTTCTTTTTCACATCAGCAGCCTAAAGCTCAGGTCCATAACAAAATTGCTAAGTGAAAACGGAAAACAATATCCAATACGGAGCCTAAACCGGAAATTAGAGAGCAAGTCCTGAAAAACTGCTGCTGTGAGAAAACCCACTCCACTCTATTTATTTGATTTATTAGATTCTATATTAAAAGGAAAGCTAAAAACTAAAACACTCACAGGCCACAGTCATCTTCAAAATGCTCTGATTATGGATACAAATGAAAACACATTTAAGGCCTTTATCCCAGCACTCACAAGGCAGAGGCAGACGGGTCTCCGTAAGGTTGAGGCCAGGCTGGCCAACACCCAGTTCCAAGCCAGCCCGGCCACATAGTGTGATCATGTCTTCAACAAACAAAGTTTGCACAACCAAGAAAACTGGGACATTCAAGTAATGCATTTGATCAATATTTTAAAAATAATTTTAGGTGATTATTTAATGCTACAGTAGAAAATGAAGCAGAGCATGATAGGCAATTTTATACTCTACAGTTCTGATCTAGGCTCTGGGGTAGAACTGGCAGAGAAGAGTGTGGTATCGGGCAAGGGAATCGGTAAGAGCTCCTAGAGCATTCTGTGGTGCCCATCACCACCAACCTTCATCCTCCTGATGAGGTAGGAAAATATCTTCTTTATTGAAGCATGAAAACATGGGTTTTACAGACAGAACTTTTCAGGAAGATGATGTTGTTGTGTAGGGTGTAATGCGTCAAATACGTACACCATGTAGGAATAAAAGAACTATCTGGCTTCTACAGATCCCCTGCTCAATGATAAATCTGAGGTCGCAACACAGTCACGAGGTAACGTTTCTACGACATATAAAAAACCCTTCCCTTTTACCCATTCAACCAGTGAGAAATGCTGCTGCCTTAAAATGAAGCCCAGAGCAAGGGTGTGCTACCAGGTCCTACAACTGAACAGGAAGTAGAGAAGTTTGTCTGAGGAAGGCTGCCTTTTGCTTTCAGATAAATCACACTAATTAGTGCTATGTGTCCTATTTAATCTATGTGTTAAATCATCAATTTCTTATATATTTCATATTAACATATATAAATTGACTCTCTTGGAAAACTGCACCTCTGAAATTAAAATGATTATTTTGTATTCAAGTGGCAAAATGCAAATTGTTGGCTTGAAATGCTTTGTTAGGATCCAATCCATTTTTTTTTTATCCATAGCAAACATTTTATACAGATTTATTTTCCCTCTCTAGCCTCAAATGACCCTCCTGCCTCATCCTCTAGAGCGCTGGGATTACAGGTGTGGCAGCATGTCCAATTTGAATTAAGTTTTAAATGTTTTCCAGCACTCCAACATCTTGCACACCACTGTGGGAATAAAGCAGGAAAAAGGACAGAAAGCAAGTGAGGATCCCATGGGGGAAAATCATGGTAGAACTCTGACAAGAGTTTATAGCTCAAGATCTATTATGTGTATGCCTAACCTGTATCTAACACTGCAACCCTGAAAACCACAGCTCTGTCCAGCGCTATGTAGCCAGCACTGTAAAGTGGAGAGTTAGTATGATTCAAGAAACCCACACTCCCAATTAAGCTTTGGCACCTGGGTCTTGCTATGGTCTCTTGTGTGATATCAAATGTGTAGCCTATATATTTTGTTTTTCATAAATGAAAAGTCTGTCATTATCACAGGGCTTAACTTTGTCCTGCCAAATGAAATGTTGAAAGCCCAATTTCCTTTGTTTCAGAAGGTGACTGTATTTAGAAAAATAGGCCTTTAAAGATGTAACTAAGAAAGCTGATATGGTGTTGCGTGTACTCCTTGCACTCAGAAGACGGAGGCAGGAGGGTCAGGAGTCCAAGGCCAGCTGCACTCCAGGAGAGGCTGTCTCAAAACAACAACAGCAACAAGCAGCTCAGTTAAACCTGAGCTCATTAGGACAGGCTCTGTGTCCAAGACAGCTTGTCTCATGGGAAGAAACAGGATACAGACGTGCAGAGGGTAGGGTGTGTGAGGATATGGCAAGAAGGTGACCATTTGTAAGCCAAACAAAGAGCCTTGGAAGAACTTAGCCATGTGATACCTTGACCTCGGGACTGGAGCCTGTAGAGAAATGCATCTGACTTAGGTAGTCAACTCCAGTGTTACCGCAGCCCTCGGAAGATAAGATGACTGTGTGTGTGAGAATAACTGTGAGCTGAGAACAAGAAGAGGGACTTGGAAATACCTCCCCTTCGTTTAGCAAGAGGCAAGGTGCGTGCCTTTTGCAGGTTCAGAAGTATATGGTGTGCCAGAATGTGGAAGAAAATTAACTATGATACCAATACACAAAGTACTACTCTCTTGACAACTGTTTGTTTTTAATTATAGAAAAATTAATAAGCCTTTCTAGATTCTACATCAATCTCTCTTTACCCTTCTTGAATCAACTCACTTGAGCAACAGTAACTAAATGCTGGTGAGATGGAGTTCCTTTTCTTAAAAGCTGCCTGTAAAGCCACAGGTTAATAAAAACCCACTCAGTCAGTGCTATGCTGCTAAGTATCTATACAGCCAACAGCTATCTTTCTACTTCAGAATCTAGAGCAGTACTTATTTAAGATCCAATGTTGGACTGTTTCTTGTGGGCTAACTCTATTTTTACATTTTACTATTGTAATTTATCTTGTTATTATCATTCTGTACATTTGTGCCACCAAATAAACAATACAAATGGATTTCAGTTTCTTAATTTAAAATTTAAATTTGTGCTCAACTTAGCTCATAAGGAGGAACAGAAATGAAACACAGACTACTCTCTGAAATGCATTCAACTCTGAAAAAGGGGAGACGCAATTGCTTGTTTGTTTGTTTGTTTGTTTGTTTGTTTTCAGGCCTGTTGATGGCAATAATCACAAACTAAAGATAATTTAGGAACTGGATTAAAACATATTTCAAATCCTTTACTTAAGTTACTAATTCCTAATAAAACTTTGTTTTTCAGATATACTAATTGATAAAAGCAAATTCATCTCTTAAATTACAATTAAACTACTGAAACTTCAAATTTCCCACTGGGAATTGCTTTCAAAATGAATTTTCAACTCTGCTTACAAAATGGTTGCTTTAGAAATGAAAAATGATGGAGAACTATAAGTCCCTTTATGATAACTTCAGTAAATGTTCATATTATGTGTCCCTCAAAATACTGGATCTTATATAATCAATTAATGTTTGTGTTAATTATTAATGTGGGAGAAAAATAATAATTTTTATAATATTGTCACAGTTGATCCCCAGAAAAGCTCTCATTTAAAAAGAGCACAGGCCAGGGGTCTTTTCTGAGACTGATACTCCAACCAAGGACCATACATGGAGATAACCTAGAACCCCTGCTCAGATGTAGCCCATGGCAGGTCAGTATCCAAGTGGGTTCCCTAGTAAGAGGAACAGGGACTGTCTCTGACATGAACTCAGTGGCTGGCTCTTTGATCACCTCCCCCTGGGGGGAGAGGAAGGGAGCAGCCTTACCAGGCCCCAGAGGAAGACAATGAAGCCAGTCCTGATGAGACCTGATAGGCTAGGGTCAGATGGAAGGGGAAGAGGACCTCCCCTATCAGTGGACTTGGGGAGGAGCATGGGAGGAGATGAGGGAGGGAGAGTGGGATTGGGAGGAAATGAGAGAGGGGGCTACTGCTGGGATATAAAGTGAATAAACTGTAATTAATATAAAAAATTTAAAATTAAAGTTAATAAAAAAAATAGAGCACAAGCCAGTGCAATAGCACACTTGTGATCCCAGCTCTTGGGGAGGCAAAGGCAGGTAGGTCTCTGTGAGTTCGAGGCCAGCCTAGTCTACTAAGTGAGTCCAGAATAGCCAGGCCTACACAGAGAAACTGTCCCGAAAAACCAAAAAAGATAAATAAAAGGGGGCGGGCACAGAGCTCACACATTTGTTAAAATGGTGTGTGAGTTTGTTAGGGCTGTTATAACAAACTATCACAGATTGAGGATGAAGCTAAGGAAATTCGCTTTCTGCAGCTTCTGAAGGCTAGTACTGCAAGATCAAAATATGAACAGCTTGTTTCTTCTGGCTCCCTCCAGGCTGGCAGACAGCACCTTCTACTGTGTGTTCCATCTTTCCTACTGCATGCGCATCCCCAGTCCCTGTCTCACAAGAATACCACCTACAGTGGATTAAGGCAAAACCTACCGGGTCTCATTTGTAATTAATCAGCTCTTTAAAGGCCCCACATCTAAATATGGTCACATTCTAAGGTATTAGAAGTTATGGTACCATTCAATGTAATTCAGCACAAAATGGTGAGAAAGTAAGAACCTGAGTCTACACATTGACTGAAAAGCCTATTGCACATATGTTCATGTCAGGATAGGCTGGTCATAGCCTTTCTTTAATGGTTGATTCCTTATGGTCTTCATAGAGAACAAAATCATAAGCCAATATAATTGAGTTTGTAGCGTAAAAGCTACAAAACTAGTAAGAGGCTCTAAAAGGGCGAAAGACCGTCAGAATCCTGTAACTTTCCTCAGAAACTCAGGCAGAGCACACAGCAGCACTGCACATGCCACACCCACGATAAAGCTTAGTGACAGGCTACTGTGTACACACCAAAACAGGATCGATAATTACAACTCCCTACGAGACGAGACAGTATTAGTATCTGTGAGAGAAAAGAAGCGTGAATGGGAATGACACAGAAATCCTCTGACACATTTGAGAAATGAGAACTTCAACATGGTAGCAAGCTTCATGGAGAGTCCAGCAGGCTAAACTAAGAGCAATGGGCTAAACCACAGTGGGGCCAAAAGCAACTGTGAAGATGTTGGAGCACTGAGGAACCCTGAGAACATTAAAACCTAATGCAGATCACTGCCAAGGAAAAAGTTAGTTCTATTTAAAAAAAGAAAAAAAAAACTGCTGGGGGTAAAATAAAGTCAGATCCTATAGGATCAGTCAGAGCAAAGAAACCTGTTTGATTACTAGATTAGAGTCTTCCCTATGGGCTGTTAGCCCAGCGATTCATAGAGCTAGGCTAACAGAGAGAAAGGAAATGGATAGTTCCGAAAGAGGTGACAGAACAGCTAAAATCATGACAAAACAAAAAGTACACACAAAACAGTAGAAACCAAGCCAGTGCCCCACTCCGCTCTCCAGGGGCCAAGAAGAAATCCATGGTTTCTGTTGTCACATCCTGGAGTCCAACAGCCAAGTACCATTGGAGAAGAGATCCCTGTCTGGGAGTAGAAGATGGTTACTGAACACAAGGAGCAACCACACATTGGGGACTTTATGGACACTCTGCCACAGGGCCTGGGTGGGAGATGTCCACAAGAAGTACTCTAGGAGACTGGGAGGCTGGACCCAAACAGCTGAGAGGTAAAGAGCCCTATGTGAGGGGCCCCTGCCCTGTGCCAGGCACAAGCACTTCTCAGGGCTCCTTGGGCCCCAGGCTTGACAGGACTGAGAGCAAGTGCTGAGCCCAGGTCAAGTAGACCAAGCAATTCACTTACTTCTCCAGTCTCCTCCCTCCCTGCAGGGTCAAGGGAAGCAAATACTGACTTAGTATGGTGAAAAAAAAAAAAGCATGAGGGAAACACACCAAAAGATGAAAGCTTACCACAAAGGAATGGTTTGGAGAAAATTCTCAAAATCTTATTAAATTGTACTCAAGATTTCAAGTTGAGCTAACAGAAATAAAAACACATATATACTGTAGATATAATGTGTATGTGTGTGTTTGTGTGTGAACTACAAAAAACTTAAAACAAGTGATAAAAGTTTTGGGAAAAAAGTAAAATAAATGAAAACCTTTAAAATTTAAAAAATGAATGCTAAATTAGAAGGAATAAAAAGCAACTGGTACCTTCAGAATAATAAAATATGTAGAGAAAAATACTTAAAATTTAAAGAGCCAAATTATGAAAACAGTTCAAGAAAAATAAATGTGAAAGATAGGAAAAATTACCTAAGTAATACAAAGTCCTGAAGTAAAAAGCTAAAGCCATATGATAGGACAATACAATTGCCTTTAAGTCAAGGAAGTTTAACTGAAATCTAGACTTATACACTGAGGATACATAGTATATAGTTACAAAATAACCCAGAATCAAAACTCTAAAATATAATAAATATATATAAGTTTAATGAAAAACATTTTAAGCATCTATGGAATAATTAAGATCCTCAAATATGTCATTTAGAAACAAACTTATAAATAACTTATTTTAAGGAAGAATTAGCAACTATTTTAAGGTAGATGATAAATACAATGTGTCTGTTTATCACAATTCTTAGAAAAAAAATGCAGCTTTGCTTAAATTAAGAAGAAAAAATAAGAAATGGATTAAATTACTAGCTCCCCATTTAAAAAACCAGAAAAATTAATATAATTCAGAGGACAAAGACAGTACCGGAGATTGGCAATTAAGGGACCAATGAGAGGGCTCAGTAGGTAAAGGCTCTTGCCAGCAAGCCTGGTGAATGAGCTCCATCCCCAGGACCCACATGGTAGAATGAAGAACTCACTCTGGAGATTATGCCTCTCAAAACAGAGTGTAAACCTAGAGTCAGCCCTCACATACAACATGAACTCTGGGGATAACTAGGAAGTGTCAGTGAAGGTTCACTAATTATCACAAACCACATGGTGTGGGGTGCGGCTGGGAGAGAGGCTGGGTTCTGAGTGGACAGAAGGTATATGGAAACTGTACTTACACCAAGTCTTTGTGAGCTCAAGACTGCTCTAAAGGTGGAAGTTTGTTTTATTAAAAACATGAGGAACTCTGGGTGAAAGTTAGAACTAGGTAAATCTACTCCAAATGCAAAGCACAGGGCTGAGCATGTAGCTTAGCAGTAGTGTTTGCCTAGCAAGTGTGAGGCTCTTGGTATTTGATCTGCTGCAGCACACAGACACAGATATACATACACACACAAATGCACACCCAGATGCAGACACACAAACATAGAAACACACATACACAGAGACACATAAATACAAACATGTACATACACATACAGACCCACAAATATGCATGCACATAAGTAAATAAAAAATGAAAGAAATTTGGTAATTAAGTAATGATTAATTTAACATAATAAACAATAAATACATTTCTTACCTTGGCCACTTCTGTAACTTTACCAAAACCAGGCTTCCAAGAGGAAGCTGTGAATAGACAATCTTATACCCTCTTTCAAGGAACTGAGACTCTTCAGGAAAATCCTCCTCAGAAACCGAGCAGCTGTTGTAGCTGGAGTCAGCATTCATGAAGCAGTACCACGGCTTACTGTGATCCACCCTGGCTGCAGCCTTGGGAGACAGCAGCCTCCACTTCAAGCAGCTTTCATTCTCACACTGGACCCACACTCTATTTACAAACTCACTGATTTCCAGAGCCGCATCCATTGAATTGCTGAAGACCACTCAGCTAGCTTCTTGTATTATTTATCAGAAGTTAATCAAATCTGAAAAAGTTTTTTTAAAAATACAGTTTCAAGATTACAAGATATAATTCAAATCACAAAAAAAAAATGTTATTGTATATTTTCTGTCCAGTCCTGTCCTTCAGGCAGAGAAGACATGTCTCCAGCACATTGTGTTCTCCTGACTGGCAACAGTAACGCAGCAGACACGTAAATGACCCTAACAAGTGCTCTGAAATTAAAGGAGGACAACTCCACTGTAAGAGGAGTCTAGTTCAGCAATGCCTATGTTTGACACTCGCCATGCACAGGGATTGCTTTCCTTTCTGAGACAATTTATGCTGTAGCCCAGGTTGACCTCCATCCCCTTGCCCAAGCCTCCTGGGTCCTAGAATGAGCATAACACACACAGAACTACAAGTGTCAGGCCCCATTGCCTTCCACACAGCTAGCATTATGTCCATTTTGCCAAGGCAACTGAAGCAAAGAAAAGCCTTGCTAAGCCTGGGGCTGGTACCCTGTAGAGCTGAGGTTTCAATGTAGCCACTGGGTTTGAAGCTCTGAGGTCTTGTCCGTAGACACACTGCTTCAGAGCACATGACAGCATCATGTGTCGTTCTGTTTGTTTTCGAAAAATCAGGAAAACTAAATGCAGCAAAATGTTTCACCTCATGAGAACTGTAATAAATTAAAAGTAAGATGAGCAACCTTTTTCCTAGGAAGTTCTGCCCCCTACCTCACAATAAAGCTTCCTCTCAAAGCTTCACTGTGAACAGCTGCCTGTTAAAGCCCCCCAAACTCAACATCAGTAACAGCACTGGAATATAGACTAATAATATAACCAAAATATAGTTGAAGCCAAGTTTTAACAACGTGTCTCCCAATGCCCTATTGTTTAAAAAACAAGAAGAGATGTGGGGCTGGCAGAGTGGCTCAGTGGGTAGAGGTTTCTGCTGCCAAGACTGATGACCTGAGTCTGATCCCCAGAGCTCATGTGGTGAAAGGATAAAACTGACTCCTGTAATCTTTGCTCTGATCTCCACATGAATGTCATCATATATGCATGTGCACACACATATATACGCATGCACACACACTAAATAGCTAAATAAGTAAATGTAAAAAAGATTCTGGCATACAGAAGTGATGAATCAGCACAACACTACTATCCAAACACCAGCATCATTCAAGCAGACCTCTTAATGCACAAGTTAATCATATACTTGTTTTACTCACTTATATTTATTCATCATATTCCTTACTTGAGCCCCTACAAATCACATTTGAAATAATCAATATATACATTAGCCATTAATTACAATGTTTTAAAATTTTAATTTTTATTAACTGCATTTTCATTTTATTCCTACGTGTGTTTTAAACTTTCCATGGTATATGTTCATTGTATATGATATCATTCTTGTTACATAAATTCATTTTCATACAACTAAGTATTTTATGTTGAGCATGTTTCCCCTTATAATTTTCTTACACGCCTTCCTTTTCACACATCCTCCCTTTTAGTCCCACTTAATTCCTAAAAGTCCAGTTTCAGTTTTATACTTATGTCACATAGACATTTGCAATTTTAGATATCTACATAAAACTTAGGAACTATGAATCTCAAAAATATTATTTTTCTGAGACTGCCTTAATTCACCTGGTACAGTTATCTTCAGTTATATACATTTTTCTAAAATGACATAACTTCATACTTTTTTATGGATGAAAAATTCTGTTGTATATACATTCCAGATTTTTCTTCCTCTTTTCTCCACTGTCTCTCTGTTGCTGGAAGTCTAGGTTGGCTCCGTCGCTGAACTATTTTAATCACGGCTACAATATTGCTGTCCAAGGATCTCTATCTGTGATATGTTGTCTTGGAGGTCTTTAAGAAGATGTCCAGCAGTGGTATAACTAAGTCATATGGAGGTCTTACGAGGCTTCTGTTCTAGAACCTACATACTGATCCCCATAGTGGCTGCACTAGTTTTCACTCCCACACACAGTGCACACGGCTCACTCGGGGCCACATCCTCGCCAGAATTTGTTCTTTGTTTTCTTAATGACTGATATTCTGGCTGGGTTGACAGAGAATCTCAATACAATTTTAATTTGCATTTCTCTGATAATGAGGATGAACATTTTTTACACTCATTTATTGAATAAATTTGTCTCTTATTATTTGAACACTACCTGTTCATTTCACTAGCCCGTTTACCAACTTGGTTATTTGAATTCTTAGTTTTTTAGTTCTTTGTATATTCTAGATATTAATCATAATCATGTCACATTTATAGTTGGCAATGATTTTCTCCTATTCTGTTGGCTATTGGTAAACTGCAGGCTTAGGTTTTTCACCTAACCTACTTTATTTAGGGTTCTTAAATACTTCTACCTCCCTTCTACACAATGACCAGATATAAGAGGGAAAGAAGACTATTAGGAAAAGGAGGTTGTAGGCCTTTTTAGAAGTAGTTCCTTAGGATGAGTCCACTTTTCATTGTCTGGATACCAGCAGTCCAGTCCAAAGACCAACACCAAACAGCAACCCAAATCAGCATGATGCAGCACCTCAGGACAAGTCAGTAAAACTGTAAGCCTCAGTTGGATTGCCCTGAGTTCTCTCGAACGTTTTTCTCTGCAAATTGTCGAAGCACAAAAACCAGGGCAATGATGTCGATCCAAAAAGCACTGTCTCACTGTCGATGGGCTTCTATAAATCTCTTCTCCTCAAAGTTCACCCATGCATGTTCTCAGCTAGCCAGTCATGCCCCTCGCATGAGAGCTGAGAACAAAACATCACAAACCCTCTCACAAGCCAGCCTCCAACAAAGCATCACATGCCCTCTCACAAGACAACTTCTAGAAAAACATCACTTGACTCAACTGAGTCTTCAAAAACACCAGAAACTTCCACTTCAGTAACCTCTGTGGTTTCCATAGCTGTGCAGAAGCTCTTTGATTTCATGGGGTTTCATTTGTCAGTTTTTGAGATTATATCCTAAGTGAGTAGTCTCCTATTTAGGAAGTTCTTGCCACTGTCTATATCTTGAAATAATTTCTTTGTTTTTTAGTTCTAATTGTTTCAGCGTTTCAGGTCTTACATCAAGATCTTTCAGTCATTTGAAATTGATTTTTTTGTACAAAGTAACAAACAGGAATCTAGTTTCATCTTTCTACATGTGAATATTTCCTTTTCTCTGCACCCTTTAAGTATGTTGTTTTTTTCTCCAATGTATATTTTTTATCATTGTCAAAAAACAAAAACAATACAGAGGACTATATCTGTGTGGATTTATATCTGGATCTTCCACACCATTGATTGACATATCTGTTTTTGTGTCTGTACCATGATGCTTTTGTTAATAGGGCTCTGTAATTTAACTTGAAGTTGGTGACACCTCTTGCATTAATCTTTTTGCTCAGGATTACTTGGAGTTTACAGGGTCCTTTGTGCTTCTGCGTGAATTGAGTTTTTATTTTCTATCGCTATGCAGAATAGCATTAGGATTTAGATAGGGATTACGTAGATCACTTTCATAGGATAGCCATTTTTACAATACTAATTCCCCCAATCCCTGAGCATGACAAGTCTTTTCAATACAGTATCTACTTCAATTGTTTCCCTCCGTATACCAAGTTTTTATTGTAGAGGTTTTTCAATTCCTTGGTTAGGATTATTCAAAAACACTTTTTTCTTGCTTCAGGTAAAAGTAAATAGTGTAATGAGTTTGCTTCCCTAATTTCTTTCTCTGAATGTTTGTTATTGAAATACAAACTCTATTGTCCCAAACCTCCCCTCTCCATTTCACATTTATGCCTTCAACTTAGCATCTGATGTCAGTTCAGCAGGCTCTCCCATAACTTGGCTATCGTGACGAACAGTATGACAGACATGGGTGTACAGGTATCTCTGTAGAAACTTAGGAATCTGCATACTAATTTGTATGCTGTATTATACAGTATGGTGTATTATACATCAAGAGAGTACAGTGTTCCTTTTTCCCTCACTTCCTCACCAGTATGTGTTGTTTGCTTTTTTTTTTTTTTTTTTTAATAATAGTCATTCTGGTTGGGTGAGATGGGCTCTCAATATATTTTTAGTTTGTACTTGCCTGAGGCAATCCAATTTAAAATTCTTGTTATTCTTTTCTGAGCTGTTATAGTCTTGTTGAGAAAGTCATTTCTTAGCCTAGGTTTCAAAATGGTCTCCTATGCATTCCTCTAGAAGTTTCAAAGTTCCAAGTCTTAAATTTAAGTCACTGGCCAATTTCTGAATTAATTTTTGTGCAGGTGAGACATGGCAACCTATTTGTATTTTTTACCCATGGATATACAGTTTTCCCAGCACTAGTCTTTTTCTTTTCCAAACTAAGTCTTTTTGGCCTCTTGATATAAGATTAGATAAAGTGGCTGGGTACGTTTGTTTCTGGTCCTCTGTTTTATTAAGCCACAGGCTTAGCTTTATTACCACTGCCATACTGTTCCTATTACTATTTCACTGTATTAAAGTTTGGCATCAGGTACTGTGATGCCTGGAGATAGCTTCAGCTATTCAGGGTCTTTTGTTTTTTTCATATTAATTTTTTTCCTAGTTCTGTGAAGAAGGTCCTTAGAGTTTTGAAGGGGATTGTAGATCACTTTCAGTAATATGGCCATTTTCTCAAGACTAACTTTGCTAATCCATGAACATGGTACACCTTTTCCATCTTCTACTGTCTTCTTCAATTTATTTCTTCAGAAATTAACTGTTTGTTTGTTTATTGGAGTCATTGTTAATGAGGTTGTTTTTCAGAAAAAAATTATACATAGGAAAATTCTTGGGTTTTTTTTGTGTGTGTGTGTTGAGTTTGCATCCTCCTATTCTAATAAAAACATGTATTTGATCTAAAAGTTTTCTGGTAGTTTTTAAAATCTTTTATGCAAGAGATCAAGTTGTCTACAAATATAATTTGACTTCTTTCTTTTATACCCCTCTTATTTCTTTCATTTTATTGTTACGCTAAGATTTCAAACACTATATTGAGTGTT